AATAAACCCTGTTACTTCAGGTAAGTCAAGCATGGCTTTAATTCTTTCCAAAAAGAGCCTAACTAACCATTGCCAAAGGCAAAGTGATTCTGCCACCAACACAGAATCTCCAAGCTCAACAGAGCAGTGGCGCCTGGACACATTTGTTCCTTTCCTCCTTCAGCAGCCTTCTCCTTCATGATAGTATGTCTTCTGACTTCAAGCTTCGACCCTACTCTTACAGTTCTTTGCAAAGGGCCTTGATCTCTTTAAAGAAAATCAAATCCATCTGAGGAATGTCTGTCACCTCCAAACCTACCTGCAGGACACTATTCTATCATATGCCCAATGTCAGAGAAAAAAATGTACCTCTGTTTCTCTAAATGGAATGGAGGACTTGATTTCTACATCAAATTCTCTTGTTGTCTCTTGTCCAAGTCCCGATTCCCTCCACTAGCAGCTCCTCTTCCCTATTCTCTGCTGTTCACCTCTCTCCTCTACAGTGTGTTTCTTCTACGAACACAAAACAGTGAAGGTTCTTTCGCCCTAAAATAACAAAACCATACGAACAAAAAGAAAAGTCTGCATCTGGCCCAAGCTATCACTCTGCAGACATTTTGGGAACTTGTCCATACTCAGTCTTCATTTACTTAAATCTTACTCATTTCTTGGCTTGCACCCTGCCCCTTTATTCAAAGCCCCATTAACTGCCAAAGTTAATGGCTGCTTTCAGTCCTAGTCAAGCCTGTGATGATTCCGAGGAATCCTTCATTCATGAAACGTTCTGCTCCCAGTTTCCCCGATTCCCTGTGTTTTCTCTGCCTTCTCTCCTGTCCTCAGTAACTTCCCCTGCCTCTTCCTCTTCCCCTTCCTGGAAAGTCACTGAGGTCCCTGTGGGTCCTCCTCTCTGCTAACGTGACATCTTCCTGTGTGCCCCCAGTCTTCTCCCAGAGCTCCCTCCCCACCTCCGATGACCCTCCGGACTGTGCATCCCAGCTGTCCTGCTCTCTCATGCTCCATACCCAGCCTCCCATTTACTCCCTGAATACATCTACAGTGATGAAAATGTCAAGATAGCATGTCTTCAATGAGATCCAACATTTTGCTTCTCAGATGTGTTTCTATGCTTATTTTTTTCAGATTTTATCTATCTATTTATTTATCTATTTATAGGGGAAGGAAAGAAGAGAGGGAGAGGAACATCAATGTGTGGTTGCCTCTCATGCACCCTCTACTGGGGACCTGGCCTGCAACCCAGGCATGTGCCCTGATGGGGGATCAAATCAGCAACCTTTGGCTCACAGGCCAGCACTCAATCTACTGAGCCACAGCAGCCAGGGCTCTGCACTTACACTTTTGACCGGATTCATCATATAACCTCTGCATTCTTTTAAGACAAAAGAATATCATACATTTTCTCAATGCCTTTCCCTCCCATACAGCTGATGGCTCACAGTCCTCCCAGCCGCACTGACTGCCCCAGTGACGGAAGGCTCTCTCGGACAGGCCACTCTTCTCCATCACTGACTATGTGCTCACATGTTTAACGTGTGTCCAAACTGTCTTCACCTAGCAGACTGCGAGATCTTGTTTCCCATTCTTCTTTCCACTTCCCACTATAACCCACCCTCTAAGAAATCATCAGAACTATCATTAAAAAAAAAAAGGATCACAGGCTTGTTCTTTTGAACCATATTGCTTAGGTTTGAATCCAGACTCTGCTACGGTCTTGCTAGGTAGCTGTGGGCAGATAACCTACCTACTCTGTGCCTATCCTCACTGGTGGACTAAAACACTAACAGCTATGAACGTTAACAGAGTTAAGATATGTAAAGTGCTTACAACTCTGTCTGACATTTAGTATGTGATCAGTAAATACTATATTGTAACCATATCGAATTGTCTTTCTTTATCTGAAACACTGTGACATCCCTTTTAATTCCAAACAAATATGCAACATCTGAGTGAAGCTTAGTGCTTATCCCTGACAGAGCAACTGCTTCCTCAATCTGGAGGAATACATGATTTCATAGGATTAAAATACATGATTTCACATTGTTTTCATAGGATGTTCCACACCATACAGCACACCACAGATCTTCTCCAGGAGAATACAAGTTCTACATCATATTTATATCAGTATTTCCAGAACGAATAACTGACTGACTGAATAAATGAGTAAACATTTACATAAATGTGTGAATGCGTGGATATAGGGCATTTTATCATAGTCCAAATGAGGTATCACATTGCTTAGAGGAATTTGTGATAGATAAAAATACCAAAAGGCAACATAATGTTAAAAAAAACACATATCAAATCAGAAATTAGAATCAACCTATGACTATTTAGAAAGACTACATAGACCTTTCTCTAAATCTTTCAGAATTTATACTGTTAAGTATGGAAAATTCCAAATATTGTGAAGAGCAACAACAGAAATACTAGAGTAATAAATATTTACTGGGCACCACCTGTGTGAAAGGTGAGGCATTGCATTTTTCACACGGTACTGAAAATATAATTGGACAAAAAACGAGGAACAAACAAATCCAAAGAAAAGACCCACAGTCAGTGATACAATAAATGTCTTAAAAATGTTCTTAGAAGAAAGGACATTGAGTTACAGTTCTTCGAAGAGCCTGATAATTGGCTGAAGGCTTAGAGGATGAGTATGATTGGAAAGAGGGACCAGGTAGAGGAAACCATATGTGATGGATATGTTAGCATGTTCACCGTGCTTAAACACTGCCAGCGGCCTGGTGGGGTAAGAAAGGGGGCTTCTGGGAAGGGTCACAAAATAGTGTAGAGGAAATGACGACGCTGTGGTCACATCGAGGTGAGAAATGGTAGCAGGCATCGCACCTGGAGGATGGCGCAGGATTCATTTCGGAGCTACAGTAATTGGTGACTGGAAGAAAATCACGGAAGGTAACCTCCAGTGACACACCTTAAATCTGGAGGCAAGAGGCAGATTGGCTAAGGAAAAAAACAGTTGTGCTCTTTTTGGGGTTGGACCATAAAGTAAAAGTTTGACAAGAGGCTATTTTATTCAAGATATTTAGCCAAAACATTCCAAATAACCCCCCCGCCGACTGAGGAAAGCCAGGCGTGGAGAGCACAAGCTCACTGCACGAAATGCTCACAGGGATAGTTAGCATCACCCTCCACGGACGCTGCTTCGCTCACTTGGTCTCGCAAATTTACAGTCAGTGCTTCCAAGCAGTAAATTCATTAAAACCAGGAAATTGCTTAATGAGTTTCAAGTGACAAACACTTCTAAAAATAAATGTTTGAACTACAGGGATTCCAAACAAATGTATCATGATCAGGACTTGTTATAGTATGCCTATCGTGACCGCAAATTTAATTCACGGTAGTAATATGTTAAATCTCATGTTCCTTTTCCTTTCTTTCTTAAGAAGAATTCTCTTGTTTTAGAGGCTGTGGAATTTCCACCTGTCCTTCCTTCCAATGGTTGCATCACTTTGAGAGCAAGCTGACTAATTTCCAACCTACTTTGTTTTCTTCTTTATTGCCCCAAAATGTCTATCGGTGTGATTATGGGTTATTATGCAATAAGGATGCTCTTGTGTACCCTAGGAGCCTAATACAGAGTCTAGTCCAGTTGAAATGTATTAACATTACACAATCTACACAACTACGCTTCACTCTGGGCTATTTTGCAAGGAAAAAAATGATCCTCTATCAATATACTAAATAGAAGAAAGTTGCATTATTCCAATGGAAGTTTATTTTAGAAAATTAAAAGGCACGCCAGCACTGAAATAACTAAACCTTATTACCACAGAGGATCCTCACTAAGGGACTCCGATCTCTCTCCGCACCTTTCAGAAAGGCTTGGTACCCACCCCCCAGAACTTTTCCGGTGAATCTGAGGTTACAAATATAGCGAGTGAGGTGCAGTTTCAAGCTGCTCCTGGTGCACAAGTAAGGAATAAGGGAAATCTGGAGTGGGGAGGATCAGACTGTCCTGCACGCTAAGAACAACAGAAGCCTGGCACCAACACAATTAGTGTATTCAACGTAGTCATTCCCTTTGAGTTAAGAAAAAAACAATGATCGCACAGTAGATTCCTGTTTTCTATAATTCAAGATACCATTTTTACCTCCTTCCAGGATCACCACTGGGCAGACGAAGGTGGCCACAGGACAGGGCGGGAAGCCATGACCTCGGAACAACCTGCTTCTCTGCCCATCCCCAGAAAGGCTTCCTGGGGAGGAGGCTAGGCCAGTGACAGGCATCCCCTGGTAGGACCTCTGCCCGGGCAGCACCACGAGGCAGCCTCGCCAGCGCTTCCCATAACATACATCCGGGATCCATCACCCTCCCCCCGCCCCGCACCATTTGAATGCTGGGCCATCGATTTTCAACCCTAACTCTGCCTAAGATTCCAAGTATTGAGATTTAATCAGGGAACATACTGAATGAACAGCAACTTTAATGATTCCTTTCAACATAGCATACTTTTTGTTTAAAAAATATTGTTCTAAATAATTCATTTAAAGTGTACATTAATTATACTGGATTATAATAGTGTTCCTAAAAGGACATCTATTGTCCCTATAAATATCAAAAAAATTCCTTATGACCAGTATAGTTCCAGTGAACACCGAGTGAATTAATGGTGATTGGCATGCAGATAAAAGAAGAAAACGTGCTGTTTGCTATTTGACATTTTCAACGGAAAATCACTTAGTATTCAACTAGCTGTGATGGCATTCATAGGAATTACATTCTAACTGAAATGTTTTTAGGAGCTCGATTTTCACACCACTTTTACTTCTACAGGGTCACTTTCTTGACGCACATATTCAAAGAGCACCTGCATAAACCCATTTATAAAATCGCCAGGAAAGTCTCAGCAAATACAAATGATTGTGCAGGATAAAACAGTCCTCTTAGAATGATTTTTATGCCATGTGTATAAAAGTAAAAATAAACAAATGGAACATTTTAGCAGCTCTCACTTTTAGGAAAAGGTTATATATTTACTTACAAGAAATCTAGACGTCAACGGAATGGAAATCCATCACCGGCCTGCAAATTAACAACAAAACCGAAGACAGTATTATTTTACTCAGGCCACTTCATTGAACAAGACAGATAACACCTGATTATATTATATATGACTCAACAATATTCATTTATAGCATCGATGATAGTAAATAATAATGGTGACAATAATAGTGTTATAACCTTTTTTCCCCACACTAACCTGGGGCAACCTGTAACTCTACCCTTTTAAAAAAACACTATTCTTTCATGTATTAAGTACTTCGAACTCTCGATGTTTACATGCATGCTAAAGAAGACAACCATAGAACAGTGGAGTTGCATTCTGAGCTAACAACATATAGTCAGAAATTTAATTAAAATCACAGGGAAAATGCTTTACTATGTCATTGTGGCTTTCCTAGAAGTTTTTACAAGTCATATCTGGATGCCCCAGAAGAGCACCTACAGCCTTTGGACAACCACTGAGGCAGCATTTGTGTCTGGGCTGTGGAGGGCCCCCGGGTGCTGCTTGATGTCCACATGCTGCTCCGACACTCATCCCAGATGCTTCAGTGAATACAGAGCTGAATCTGAAAGCGTCAAAGCATGAGCAGAAGGAGTTTTGGTCCAGGCAAGTTGGGAGTTGCCATGAAGCAGCATCATCAGCACTGAGCTGCGATCCTGGAACCAGCGTGAAAACTGCACGGTGTCTTTACTGGACACCTGTGTGGCCAAGGCCGATATAAACCACACCCCACAGAATCAGAGGTTTCTCTCCCATGCTGTCATTGTCCTTCCTTTTCCATACTGTAATGGCTCGATGCAGAATAATTTTATGATAACAGTTACATATTCTATGGAAGACTCCATAATTTCATAGCACACCATCTTTTATCAGGATGTTGTCCGATGGACATTTATTTGGGACTGTGTCCACACCTATGCAGGTACAATGTTGACATCTTTATGTTGACCTACATAGATTATCAGAAGATGTAACACAGGGTTTTGTTCAATTTCTTGTCTGCTTTAACTCATGGGACTTACAAGGAACATGAGGATACGCAAAGCCACAGCCCTTTAGTGTAGGAGGGGCCTGCAGCAATAAGATGCATTTTTAAGTGGAGAGAAGCTATTGTGCCAGCTGTATGTCAAGATACTTGACAGAGTTAAGTACTACAACTGTAAAGTTAAATCACAGGAGGGAGAGGCATTAAGAGGTAAAGAAAAGATAGAAAATTCGTGTTTTCAGATGAGATCTGTGAGGGGGAGGAGCGTAATCTGTGTAGGGAGACATAAGAACCCTCCACAGTTAACAGAAGCTGAAGAGAAATTGATTTGGAAAGAATAGGGAATAATCATGGTGTAGAACAGTGCATCCCATAATGAGTCTGGTTCTTGGAAATGCTGATCCGAAGGCGGGGCCCATAACTCCCAGACTGACACATGCCGTAATTTTCTCCAAAATAGAGCTACTCCTTACCCCTGATGCAAATAGTCTATGTGGCAGTTTCAGAAGCTCAGTTGAATCGAGGCAAGAGTTGAATTTAGAAGTCTGAGGGGTCCACGAAAGTGAAGAAATGTTAAGAGACACTGAAAGCGAGGGAAACATGCCACGGCTCAGCATCAATAGCACGCTAGAATGAGAGGGTAACAGGACCACCTATCTTTGGTGGAAGGCGGCTTGATGAAAAAGCTCGCTGTTTTGCAAAGCCTTGAGAGGGAGAAGAGAAATAAAAGAACTGGAAAGCAGATACAAATTTGAAACCACTACAGAAATAAGGAAATGGTGATAATTTAGTGATGCATATATGTTACCGAACATTGAGTGGAAAGTTAGTAAGTCTAGTGCAATCACTTTGGATATGAAAGTCTTTGCTTTCACAGTCTAACATGACAGGGACCTCAAATAGCAACGCAGCATAGGACGCAGGTGGCTGGTGCTGGGCTATGCGTGCCTGGCAGGAGGTGGGACAGCTGTGAACAGCCACAGGACTTTCCACTTTTCATGCTGGAACACACCCTCATCCCCTCTGCGATTTACGGAGAGTCTCCTATTCTCACAAAGTGTACTTCTGACTTACCACACCGCCTGCCGGTTCCTCTGCTTTTTCCTGGCTCCTCTGTTCCAGGCACTCTCTACAGGTTCCTGCTGGCCTGTCTACATGATTGGGCCAACCAGCCTCTTTGGAAAACAATTTGGCTCTATTCAGTATATTCGATGCTTTTGTATGCCATACATAGATAAATGCAGTTTTTTTTTTACTCTGGTCATTCTTGCAGCTCCTCACAGATTCAAATCCTCTAACCAACCCTCTTTCCATGCACAGACCCCTTCTCTGGCCAGTTCACTGCAGTGAAGGGCAGGAAAGAGGTGGAAGAGGCTGTGTGTGGTGACTGGACGTAATTAAACCATTCTCAACCAATACTGAAAAATGTGAGTCTAAAATACTCCAGGATTGCACTTTAAATTGTATCATTCTAGAATGAGGCCCTTGGAAATTGGCCTATTTAAGTTTATATTTCGTTCCAGAATTATAATGCCTAACCTTTTGGCATACGAGAATTGACTTCATGGGAACAGTAGTGAAATAGAGAAAAGAGCACATCTTTCTGGGGTCTGTTATTTGTCTCAGCTGTTTAGGTTGCTTCCATTTTTTAAAAATTAGCAGAATGGTGTTTAGCATCTGCCAAATATAGCTCTGAGGAACAATAGGCTTGATTGGAAGAGCCGGCATGTGGATCAAATACTGAATTCATCAGGGGAACTAGATTTCATGTAGATTCCATGTAGGTGGCATAGCGCTCTTCTTTGCTTGACTCCCCATTTTAGGTGACAATAATTCCCATATCTTAATATCTAGTTTAAAATTTTCCTTCTTAGATTTGTGTCCTATGCTACCCCTCCATACTCCTGGCCTCCACAATCCATCATTCATCAGTCTCACTATCCCAACTGGTGAATTTCCCATTCATTCATTCACTTATCCATTCACCTTGGGTGCACCTCTGAACGAGGCAAGGGGAGAGTGTTGATAAAAAGACATCTTCAGTCTTACCTTTGATATAATTAGTTTATAATCAAATTGGGAATCTCGAGATATTTTCTCATGAAAGGTTACAAAGGGAAGACTGAATTTTAAATGAATGATATAGAAATAGAGAAGTTAGGAGAAAGGAGAGATCATTGGAATTTAGAGTCATTCATTCATTTATTCAATACGAGCTATATCTGGCACAGGTCTAGAGGCTGGGAATACTGAAAATAGCAAAAAAAATATATATAGCTTTCAGTGGGAGGGATACACAGATAATGTTAGATAGCAATGAATACAGGAAAAATAATGCAAGTGAGGGTAGTAAAAATAGTGGAGGAGAAGGTTCAGTTTTAGAAGAACTGGCTAGCCAAGTCTTCCTTGAGAGTAGATTTAAATAAAGACCTGAATAAAATGAGAGAGTGGGTCATGTACACACTGAAGGTGGGAGCCCATACTGGCCTTAAAATTATTTTAAAAAGAAACCTAGAAACCTCACGAGTGAACAGGGGGCATGAGTAGAAGATAAAGTGGGAGGGTGTAGGGACCAAGATCAAGAGGGGGCTTGCGGGTCATAATAAGAATGTTGGCCTTTATTCAAAACCAGGTGTCTTTGGTGCTTTTTGAAGTAAAAAAGTGACAGGACAGGATTATTCTGATGGCATGTTGATAATAACCCGACATGAGGGCAGGGAGGACATTATCAGGAAGATCCCTGAAAGGCCATCCTGCTCGAGTCTAGGAAGGAAGAGGTGACGACTTAGAGTAGGGTGGCAGCCATGAAGGGTTGGGCTGCGTTCAGATTTTGGAAGTATTTGGAAGACATAACCTAAATATTTTGCTGACCAAGTGAATCCTGAATGAAAGAAAAGGTAGTATAAGGGACAAAACCAAAATTTTTGGCCGAAGTAGTTAGACACCTAGGAAGATGGAGACATATTTGAGTTGGGGGACGCTGACCACCCTCAGCGGGGCCTGCAGATCATGTCAGCAATGGCACGGATGCACGGCCTTCCAGACAATCTGTGCTACTGAAAACACCATACACATTAGTCTCTTGTGAGTCTGAAAGGCGTAGTTTTGTTGAATTGTGCCTTTCATTGGTTCTTCTTCCTCTAAGAGTGGGAAGAACACTGTTTTCAGTGATCAAATAGCTGGGCAACCAGCGGGAAGGGCCTTACATTTCGTGAGCCTCACTATTCTAACCCGAAAGTTGATGATACTAGAACGTATTTTAATTGCATTAGCAGTTCATGTTGAGAGAAATAGTTTAACACTTATGGGAAAAAATTCCTGGTGTTGTGTTGGTGGGTTCTGCTGCTATACTCCTTTGGAATGACAGTGTAAGAACTATTTCAATGTGGAGCGGATCACTTGGTCTTGATGTATTTTTTTCTTTATTAACTGTCTGAAAATTAGCTTTATACATACAAACCTGAGAGGAATTTTGTGAAGTTGATCAAAGTAATATTTATAAACTTCCCTGAAATCCCTAGCTGAAAAAGAAAATGTCATATAATATCATTTGTCTAAAAACGAGACCTTTTGTAAGCTTTCATTATAATTTTAAATTTCCTTACATTAAGGAACATGAATCAATCAAATATAATGAGCAATGACTATTTGCACATTACAAGTTTTTCAGGGCCAAAAATTGACTCACTCACTTTGTTTTCTTCTTCCACAGCATAGACTTCTTAAAATTGTTGTTAATGATGATGGTGGTAATATTAGTAGCACCAGTAGTAGTAATACTACTACTGTAATTACCTAGATCATGACCTACAGAGCTCCTCCTTCTGGGAATTATTAAGTAGGGGGATGTCACTTATGGTTTGCCATAGAGTTCATGGCACAGTTCAACATTTTAAAAAAGCATTAAACTTGGCTATATTCAAAGACACCAGGATCCTAAACGGGAACACAGAGCGTAGGGCAGAAATTCATTTATATCTATAGATTATTACATTTTTTATCAATAGGAGGTGCAGTAGGTCTACCTTGATG